GTGACTTACTGTAGGACTTCATGGGCAACAAAGTACAAAATTGTATAAATAATAATTAAACCACAGGCTAATAGCATTCATTAGAAACTAATATAAATCTAATATTAACGGAGACCTATTATGCAAAAATCACTTTTATAAGGGGTTTAAACAGCTGTGTGGCAACACTCCTTTAATGGTAAACATTCATTCATTTACCTTCAACTCAATCCCTTATTTATCAAGGGGTCGCCACAGCAGAATGAACCGCCAACAATTCCAGTATATGTTTTATGCAGCAGATCTCTCATTCACACACACTCAGACACTATGGCCAATTTAGTTCATCCAATTCACCTATAGCCGCATGTCTTTGGACTTGTGGAGAAAACCGGAACACCCAGAGGAAACCCTCACCAACATGGGGAGAACATGCAAATTCTACACAGAAATGCCAATTGACCCATCCAGGATTCGAACCAGCGACCTTGCTGTGAGGCAACAGTGCTAATCACTGGGCCACTGTGTTACTTTTTATGGTAAAAATTAATTGATTACATTTTTTATAATTACACAATATAATAATTACATTGGAAAACGCAGTAGTGTAAAAGTAGCCTTAAAGTCCCAGTGATCATGTAAATGAATGTACAGTGGAGGTCAGAATTATTAGCCCCTCTGTTAAATTTGAATTCTTTATATTTTTATAAAATACGCTCTGCGCCCCGGCGCATGGTCTAACAGGGTTGTGCTTATTCTCCTAATGAGTTATGGGTGTGAGTCTAATGAGTCTCCTCTCCCATTCCCTTTAGGAGTCAGTTGCATCGCTCCATGGCACATTTGCTATTTACATGGCGAACTTTGTAAGTGGAAAAACTGAATGCTTCAGCGAGAAAACAGTTAAACAGAGCATCTGCAACGAAGATAAAGAACAAGCTTCCTCCATTCCTCCATTTTACTCTCTACTCCTTTACTTTCATAGATAATGAACAGTGTTGTACGCACTCCACTGAAGACATCCATTAGCCTACATATTAAATTTTGTTTGTCAAGCACAAAGATTTGTTTCAAAAATATTTCTAAATTCAGTTCTAATTTTCAGCAAATTAATAAAAAAACAATAATAATGAAGTGTGGTCAAAAAACTGAGTTATATCCAAATACACGTCCTATTCTTATGCCCCTTGTGGTGATACAACTCCAAAACCTGACAGGTGGACAAATCTAATCTTGTTTTTATTAAACAAATATAAATATGCAAATAATAAATAATACTAATATTAATAATAACATTATACAAACGCAAAATTTTTGTTTTATCATGAATAAACAAAACAAAACAAAAAATAATTTCAGCCAAAATAAAACAAATAAGGCTTTCTCCAGGGGTCCGTTCTTCATACCTCGCTTAAATGATCTAAGATGATTTGGCAGATCCTGGATCTTTTAATCTTGATAACTGATTTCTCACTAATTTGTTTCTTCAAACAAGTTTGCGAATCCAATTAGAATGTCTGGATGAACTGATCTGAGATCGCTGCATGTGTTTCGATCCTCGAAATCATGATCAGCAATGCAACGATTGGCTGACGGCACAGCAGCGTAATGACATCATCTGATTAATATTCAATTATCCATGTGAGCAAAATTACATCAAATTAGCAGTAAACAGTTTGTTAAATATGACACGCAATAACCTTCCACATTTGTTGTGAGCTGCAGGCTTTACACTTGTGTCAAGAGTATTCATCATGTATTTCAATGCATATCAATGTATTTAGTTCTACATTTAGAAAATATTTTCTTTATTATAGTAGCCGTTTTTTTAATCGCAGTATTAAAAAATTTTAATTGCACTTTCTCTATTATCTTTGCTTGAACTAAGCCTATCTAATCCTGTTTATATGAATTGAACCTGCTCCCGATCAGGTTTGACCTAGCAGAACTGTTGCTATGACAACAACTCTCGGATCAGCTTTGAGGAACGAAACGATCGATTGTGTCAAATCGTCAATATCCAAATCCAGCTAACTGAGTAATCCACGTACGAAGAACGGACCCCAGAAGAAAAAATATGATCACAAAAACTGTGAAAATGTCCTCGCTTACTTGAACATATTTGAAAAAGAATCAATATTTCACAGGAAGGTTAATAATTTTGCCCTTTAACTGTAATTATAATTTTGTATCTGAAATTTTGCCCCAGAAGCCTTGTCTATGTTTTACCATAGAGTAAATCTGCCTATAGCTTCAGTGTGTCTGCACTCTGTGTGACGATGCATTTCTCAGCAATGAGGCCATTCAAGGGGAACCTTAGGAAAATGACACAGAGGCTGATAGATGTGTTTGCTGTGGCACCAGGGAAAGCAAACCTGACTGTCGCACGCCTGCTTTTTCTCAACAAACCGAATACAGCTTTAATCTATCACTGGAGCTGGCGTGCAGTAGAGACTCTGCAGACTGAATATGTACTATAAGCATGTTTGGAGTGTTAACAACGTCATCATTTTGTCACCGATATGTTCTGCTGAGTAAGATTTGATTAATAAATGGTGGATTCAGACACATCACACCTGGTTTGACGTCAAAGGCAAATATAATTTTGCAAGTCACACTTGCAACAAGTGAATGATGACCTCATTTTGTATATCTCATATATTCAGAAATCTTGATAGATACTGCATGGCTTGCTATGAAGGGTCTGAAGGGTTGTGTGACACTGGAGATGATGGTAATGACACTAAAAATTCAGCTTTGCAACAAAAGAATTAACTACATTGTTAAATATCTCCAAATAAAATGTAAAAATTAAATAAAATTTAGTTTTGTTTTAGATAACAACTCAACTCAAATTTTCCAGTCAGAGCAATCGTCCAGTAAATTATTTACTGTATAACAAAAAAAATTCCGGACTTAGGGATTCTTCAGATAACTGTTTAGTGAATCAAATGTTACAAATGTTAAAAAAAAGTTACTTATTCAAATAATCCGGTCAAAGTGAGTCTTCAGTAAATGAGTCACTTATTCAAATGATCTGGTCAGATCGAGTCTTCAGTTAATGAGTCGCTTATTCAAATGATCTAATCAGAGTGAGTCTTCAGTTAACGATCCACTCATTCAAATGATCCAATCAGAGTGAGTCTCTAGTTAACGATTCACTCATTCAAATGATCCGGTCAGACTGAGTCTCTAGTTAATGACTCACTCATTTAAATGATCTAATTAGAGTTAGTCTCCAGTTAACAATTCAGTCATTCAAATGATTCAATCAGAGTGAGTCTATAGTTATTGATTCACTTATTCAAATGATTCGGTCAGAGTGAGTCTGTAGTTAACGATTCATTTATTCAAATGATCTAATCAGAGTGAGTCTCCAGTTAACAATTCACTCATTCAAATGATCCAATCAGAGTGAGTCTCTAGTTATCGATTCACTCATTTCAATGATCTGGTCAGAGTGAGTCTTCAGTTAACGAGTCACTTATTCAAATCATCCAGTGACAGTAAAACTCCAAACATACCCACTATATACTAGGTTATATATTGAATATTTTCTTATTTTCAATTGTTTGCACACAAGTTTTTACCTAGCAATAGTAAAAGTATATAAAAAATATTTTTTACAAATCTATAAAAAAAATCTAAAGAAAATTAAGAAAAGTTGAAAAAGAGTACTTTATATATATATATATATATATATATATATATATATATATATATATATATATATATATATATATATATATATATATTCATTTTGAAATATTTAAATATATACAATATACATACACTCACATAGCCACCTTATGAGGTACACCTGTCCAACTGCTTGTTAACGCAAAGTTCTATTTAGCCAATCACATGGCGGCAAATCAATGCATTTAGGCAGGTACACATGGTCTAGTCCAGGGGTGGGCAAACTCGGTCCTGGAGGGGCGGTGTCCTGCATAGTTTAGCTCTAACGCTACTCAAACACACCTGAACATGCTAATCAGCGTCTTCAAGATCACCCGAAATCTATAAGCAGATGTGTTTGATTAGAGTTGGAGCTAAACTGTGCAGGACACCGGCCCTCCAGGAACGAGATTGCCCACCCCTGGTCTGGACGATCTGCTGCAGTACAAACTGAACATCGGAACGGGGAAGAAAAGTGATTTAAGTGACTGAATGCGGCATGGTTGTTGGTATTGAGTATTTCGGTTGAATATTTCAGAAACTGCTGATCTACTTGGATTTTAACCCACAACCATCTCTAGGGTTTACAGAGAATGGTCTGAAAAAGAAAAAATATCCAGTGAGTGGCAGTTCTTTGGGCCGAGGAGAATGGCCAGACTGGTTTCAGCTGATAGAAAGGCAACAGTAACTTCAATATTCACTCGTTACAACTGAGGTCTGCAGAAGAGCATCTCTGAATCCACAACACCGCCAACCTTGAGGCGGATAGCCTACAGCAGCAGAAGACCACACCAGGTGCCACACCTGTCAGCTAAGAACATGAAACTGAGGCTACAATTCATACAGGCTCAACAAACTGGACAACAGAAGACTGGTAAAACATTGCCTGGTCTGATGAGTCTAGATTTTTGCTGCCACATTCGGGTGGAAGCATCAGAATTTGACATCAACAACATAAAAGCATTAATCCATTCTGCTGTCTATTAACAGTTCATGCTGGTGGTGGTGGTGTAATGGTGAGGGGGATATTTTCTTGGCACACTTTGGGCCCATTAGTACCAATTGAGCATCATGTCAAAGCCAGAGCCTACCTGAGTTACATACCTGTTGCTGAGCATGTCCATCCCTTTATATGGACCAAAACCTCCATATATTTCCAGTACCTTGCTGAATCTCTGCCACAAAGGTTTAAGACAGTTCTAAAAGCAAAAGTGGGTCCAACCCTGTACTAGTCAGGTGTACCTAATAAAGTGGCCAGCGAGTGTGTATTTAAATATAATATATATTTTTGCATTTAAGCTTCTATTCTTACTTTCCAACATATCTTGAAATTACAGTGTTTCACAAAAATATTAAAAAGTTACAACTTACTTAGTAGAACAAACCTAGATGAAACTTTCTCTATTTAGTTTATACTACTTGTACAAACCACCTCTTAAATGTGAGTAAACTCTGGCCACTTTTATGACAGAAATACACAATTAGATATCAGCATTGCATGTTTTCATGCCTCCCACATCTATCTCATAAATAAAGTGTAAACTGTGGTTTCCTGAGTTGAAATACCTCACCGGAGATGCTTCATGAGAGAGAATGAGGTCACTGTCTCTTTAAGAAGCATCCTGCTGGAGCGCCTGCTCTTTGACTTGAGTTCACATCTCGGTCCGCAAACACTCGAGAGAGGAGAAAAACACAGAGAGAGTTCACATGTGAAAGGATACTCGTGGACTCGCTGATTCACGCATGGAGGGAAAAATCGCATGACAATCTGCTGGATGAAGATTGACTTTCATATGGTGAGTGTCTGACATTTTTCTCATAGTTTCACTGCCTCATTTAAGCCGGCTGAAGCATTTAAAGTGAACTACAGTGTAGGATAACACAACTGAAATCAAATTTTACACTACAAACTGCACTTTAAAAAGCAATTAGTTACTATTTTTTTCTTCTGTTGACATTTTGAAGAAAGCTGAAAATCTGTATCCACTAACTTTCATAGTAAAAAAACAATTATCATGGAAGTCAATGGATGCAGGTTCCAGGATCCAGCTATCTTTGAAATATGTTCTTTTGTGTTTAACAGAAGAAAGAAACTCATAAAGGTGAGTAAATGCTAACATAATTTTCATTTTGGGTAAACCATCCATTTAAAAAACAGTGAAAAACAGTTGCTTTAAAAGCAACAATGATTTTTTTTATTTTTTATTTAATGGGTTCATTCAAGTAGAAAAGACAATTGAAAGGAACAGTTTCCCCAAAGTCTACACACTATTTATTCAGCCTTAAATGGTTACAAAGCTTTAGCTTTTTTATTAGTAGTTGGGTTTAGGAATTGAGTAGGATTAAGAATACTATAAGATCATCCAGAACATACTTTTTTAAGTACAAATGAACAGCTAATATCTTACCAATATCTTATTCAATAATAGGCAAGTAGTAAGCCACTATAGTGAACAGTGAGAATTGGTAATTAAACTAAATAATGTCTATGTTTCATTTACATAATTTTAGGGTAACATGGTTTACTTGCTTTTTTAAAGTAAAGCCAACTAATTGCTTTAAAAAGCAGTGGGATTACTCTCTTTTGAAGTCAGCTAATCACTTTAAAAACAATAGGTTTACTCACCTTTTTTAAAGTTAACTAATCACTTTAAAAACAACAGGTTAGGTAACTTTTTATACAGTAAGTCAACCAATCACTTTAAAAACAACATGTTTACTCACCTTTTTTAAAGTTAACTAATCACTTTGAAAACAACAGCTTTAGTCACTTTTTATACAGTAAGTCAACCAATCACTTTAAAAACAACAGGTTTACTCACCTTTTTTAAAGTGAAGTCAACTAATTAATGCTGGGCATTAACATGTCTTCGTACTAACAGGTATAATTATATCAACAAGATCTGTTCAGCTCTCTGTGATCATTAATCATCATCAACTGAGATCAAGAATCAGTTTTACAAGTTTAAAATGTTTATAAAACAGTGCATATTTGTAATGTATAACAGTAATTTACTTCAGCTTTACTTTACCACCACAGCCGGTTCATGGACGTTAAATCAGTTTTTTTTTTTTGTACGTTAACATAACGCATGTCCATACAGCAGTAGGTATTAATGTGTATCCTGTCACATTTGCTGTTCAAAAACAAAGTTAAACGCATGCGCTGTATGTGAATGTCCACTGTGTGTGTCTGTGTGTGCGTGAACTTTGCGTGAACTTTGTAACAGCATTGTGTGTGACTCGTTGCAGAAAGGCTTGAATTAACTCCACAACAAATACATCAAATAATCATTGGGACAGTTTATACTGTAGTATTTCTCACAAACATTACGTGAGATTTGATTTCTTCATATTCCTTCATTTGTTTATCTGAGGCAGCTGAGGTGGAGCTTGAGGCACACTCTGACAGGCACGTGGGAATGGTGGATGGGGTGAACCAACATTAAAGGCACAGGCACCAAAAACAGCTATTTTGTGTTCAAAGCAGAGAATTCCAAAATTCTAAAAGGTGTAACAAATAATCTGATGGGTGTTTTGAGCTGAAACTTTACAGACACATTCTGAAGACACAAAAGATTTATATTAAATCTTAAAAAAGGGGTAAAATAGGTGCCCTTTAAAATCAACGAGTATACTTACCTTTTTAAAGTCATTTAATCAATTTAAAAATTAAAGTTTTACTTTGCTTTTTTAAGTTAAGTCAACTAATCCCTTTTTAAAGTGTATAATCTACATTATATTTGCTTGAAATACAGCAAGATTTTTAATCTTCATCCACTAAAACTCAAGATGTTCCTAAAACATTTGTTCAATTGATGACAAAAAGTCATATCTTAAAATTGTATTGTACTTAATATTTACAAAGAAATTGTACATAAATATATTTATTATAAGTTATCTTTCATCTTATTTTACATTAAAACTGTTCTTTAAACGTAACTTTATATTCTGGTTTCAGTGTAAATGTTTTGAATCTGAGTATAATTTTGAATCAACCAAAAGCTCAAAAACAAACATTTTGTTTTGCAAACAAGACACGAATGTAGTGCTTTTATTTGTTTCTATGCAAAAAAAAGGTGTAACCAAAAATGAGAACATCATTTATTCAAATAAAAAATATTACTTTACATCACTTAACCGGCCTGCATACAAACAAAACTCATTTTAATAGGTTCAATCAAGTTCAAAAGGTTATTTGCGGGGACAGTTCACCCAAAACGTAATATGCTTACTTTAAAGTCAGCTTCAAGTAATTCCAAACCGGCATTAATTTTTTAAACTGTTAAACACGAAGAAGATATTCTGAAGAAATAACAAATCTCCAACATATTTCAAAATATCTTTTGTGTTTAAAAGAAGAAAGAAACTCAAATAGGGTTGGTAAAGGTGAAGAGTAAGTAAATAGTGACAGAATGTTCAGCTTTGGTTCCCAGAGATGGGTTGCGGCTGGAAGGGCATCCGCTGCGTTAAAAAAAAAAAAAAGTGCTGGATAAGTTGGCGGTTCATTCCGCTGTGGCGACCCCGGATTAATAAAGGGACTAAGTCGTAAAGAAAATGAATGAATGATGGTTCAGCTTTGGGTAAATTATGCCTTTAAGATAATAATCATCGGTTACCACTTCTTACAGTGTAGTTACGTCATTAATAGTGTGCTGATTTAAAATCATAGCTATAATTCACAACTCAACTTCAATTTCCCTTTGAATGGGAAGGAAAGTTGGATGGTGATGGATATTTGATAGCAGAAGAATATAATACTATTGTTTAATACAAATAGAAACATGATCCAGTATGAATATTTAACCACTAGCCAGAAGTTTTTGTGAGTTGTGCAGCTCTGGTTTGAGAAGAAAGGTTATCATGGGAAAGTTCACGCAGGAAGCTTTGGCTGTGGTTTTATCTGCTTTCTATAGAATTTTAAAGCACAAGTGGCAATTGAGCATCGTGTTGCAATGATATATTAGTTGTTTTGAGCTTTGCAAGAAGGTCAAATGCAAACAGAATTATCAGTCTGCATACTGAGGGATGAAAACTCTTATAATTCAATTAGCCTCATTTCCTTCAATTGATTGAAATATCATCACTGACTTCAATTTCATTCTGTTCCTCACAATTTGTCTTATTACATTAGGAAGTCTACTAATGTAGCATGACACTGAATATAAAACAATTTGAAATAATTATAAGAACATATACACACACATACATATATATAAAATGTGGGATCCTGTCTTTTTTTCTAAAGCACCATAAAGATTAACGCCCCATTCACATGGGTCTCACCTTTAACTCTTCCTATTCACTTTGAATGGGTGACATCAGGCTTTGCTGAACTGCATTGTTAATCCATCAGTGCCACTTCGGAGGCATTGCTCACTGCAGAAGTTGGGACTTTCTCAACTTTTCAAGCATGGACAGAACCGCAAGCCAGTCAGATCGCTGTATGCAAATACACCAACTCAGACAGTAGCCGACTGTGGACTAATTTCATTGGCTGACGCTGCTATGACGATCGCGTCAGCCCCAACTTTAGACATGCCTTCTGTCAAGCGTTGACGTTGAAGCCCTGTGTGAATGGGGCATAATAGTGTTTAATTTCTGAAGATTTGTATGTTTTTTCTGTTTCTTTCTTTACATGCACCACTGTGTCTTTTTGTAGGTCATATATGTTGTTTGCCTTTTCCCTTGTTTCATGCTTTATTTTACATTTTGCATAGATTATTGTTTCAATAAAATATATAAATATATATATATATATATATATATATATATATATATATATATATATATATATATATATACTGAATTATATATATATATATATATATATATATATATAATTCAGTATATATATATAGAAGTCAGAATTATTAGCCCCCTTTTTATTTCTTTCTTTTGTTCTTTTTTTAAATATTTCCGAAATGATGCTTAACAGATTAAGTACATTTTTACAGTGTGTCTGAAATTATTTTTTCTACTGGAGAATTTGTTTTATTTCGGCAAGAGTAAAATCTGTTTTAAATTAATTAAACACCATTTTAAGGACAAAATTATTAGCCCCTTTAAGCTATATATTTATTCGATACTCTACAGAATAAACCACCATTATACAATAACTTCCCTTATTACCCTAACCTGTCTAGTTAACCTAATTAAGCATTTAAATGTCACTTTAAGCTGTATAGAAGCGTCTTGAAAAATATCTAGCCAAATAGTATTTACAGTCATCATGGCAAAGATAAAATAAATCAGCTATTAGAGAGTTATTAAAACTATTGTGTTTAGAAATGTGTTGAAAAGATCCTCTCTCTGTTAAAAAGAAATTGGGGAAAAAATAAATGGGGGCTAATAATTCTGACTTCAACTGTATGCATATGTATGTATGTATATATATTTATTTATATATATATATATATATATATATATATATATAGAGAGAGAGAGAGAGAGAGAGAGAGATTCTATGAGTTTTTTTTTACAAATTGATGATTCAATAACATACACAGTTTGTTTAATACATGCTTCAGTTAATTAAATTTATGTATTTATTTAAATAACATCTAACTTATTAATAAATTTTTTATACGTTTTTCGGTGTTTTGTGGGATATTTCCAGTATCCTATCCTCTGATTGGCGATTTCAGACATCACTCAAGTCAAGCTATACAAACTACAGATCTAATTTGACTTTACTTTTAGGCATTACGGAGAATCAAACACCCATTTAATAAGAAAACAGTCCTGTGAACACTTACAGTCAATCGCCAGTCAGAGGGGATCAAGCTTTAATTAAGGGGGGTCAGGCCTCCCCAAACCCCCTATTATTCTACCCCGATTAAGCCACATCTCCTTTTTTTAAAAATCATACATTTTCATACAAATGAATCGTATGAACTTGTACAAATTAGTCAACAATACGTAAAATAGTTGTGCTTCCTCGTGAGATTAAGTTGGCAAGACCCATTGACTGTGCGGTTCCTATGTTTTCAGGACTCACCCTTACAGCAGATGGAGACGGCTTAACCATCATGGATCCAGAGGACAAACTGAGCAGAGAAAAGCTGATCTTCTATCTCACAGTCCCACTTTCCTCCATCATCATCTTCACCAACCTCTTCATCATAATCGGCATTGCATGCAACCGGCAGCTCCACAACACTCCCAATTACTTCTTCTTGAGTCTCCTGGTGGCCGATTTATGCACGGGCATCACGCTTCCCTTCATTCCCCGCATGAGCCTGGACCGACAGCTGGATTTCAGACACTGCCTGGTCATGTACATCTTTCCCAACTTTCTGTTCCTGTCATTCCTGTTCAATTTGGTGATGGTGCATTACGAGCGCTACCTCTGCATCGTCAGCCCGCTCCATCACAGTCAGTTCTGGGTTCATCGATGTTTCCCGTTGGCGCTATTGACGGTTTGGCTTCCTCCATTGCTTTACGCATCACTTCCTGCTTTTGGATGGAACAACTGGATTGAAGCAGCATCCAATAAGAGTTTAGACTCGAACGAGACGTTTTGGAGATCACAAACTTCTCATAACGCTTCCAAAGAGGATGAGGTCTGCTCCTACAAACAGGTTAGACTTAAGACTTCATTTTAAACATGTAAAAAATGTAATGAATACAATTATATTCATAAACACAGCAGAAAAGGGGCGACATGGGTTAGCACTGTCGCCTTATAGCAAGAAAAAAGTTGATGGTTAGAGTCCTGACTGGGCAAAATGGCATTTCTGTTTGCATTTTCCCCTCGTGTTGGTGTGGGTTTCCTACAGGTTTCCCCCACAGTCTAAACACATGCGCTCTAGATGAATTGAATAAACTAAATTGACCATAGTAGGTCGACACAGTGGCACAGTGGGTAGCGATGTTGCCTCACTGCAAGAAGGTTGCTGGTTCCAGCCTCAGCTGGGTCTGTTGGCATTTGCAATATGGGTGAATTGGGTAAGCTTAATGTCCGTAGTGCATAAATGTGTATGGGTGTTTCCCAGTAGTGGGTTGCAGCTGGAAGGGCATTCGCTGAGTAAAGCATCTGCTGGATAAGTTGGCGGTTCATTACATTTTAAACCCTGATGAATAAGTTGCTTTATAAACTAATTTCGAGAGGATCACATGCTTATGATTGACCACAGCTGGTCCCGCATCAGCTTTCGAATAATTCACCAATCAGATGATTCCCAACTCACTATAAATAACCAGAGTTTTCTTATCTCAGCATGTTCGTCTTGAAGAATCCCCCTCTACCCACCCCTACTCCTCCTCCTTTCCCCCTCCTCTAGTCAACATTTCTGTTTGGTGTTTGCTCGTTCTCCCCATGCTCGTGTGAGTTTTTCCCCGAATTCTCCGGCGTCCTCCCAAAGTCCAAAAAACACGCAACTTAACACGCAAGCCATACATCTCTCCTTAGCCATCCCCTGTATCTGTCATTAACCACAAATAATTAGGGGAAGTTCATCGAGATCTACCTGAGTTCAAACTCCCCTTTGCCCTGCAATTGGGAGGGAGCCAAAGGCTCGAGGGTCTCAAAAGCTCAGGGCTCTCTCATGCCAAACAAGCTTTATTATCAATCATCAGCTAAGAACTCTTGAAAGGGACTAAGCTGAAGAAACATTAATGAATGAATGTTATATAGTTGAAGTCAGAATTATTAGCCCCCCTTTGATTTTTTTTTTTTCTTTTTAAAATATTTCCTAAATGATGTTTAACAGAGCAAAGAATTGTTCACAGTATGTCTGATAATATTTTTTCTTCTGGAAAAAGTCTTATTTTGCCTAGAATAAAAGCAGTTTTTAATTTTTTAAAACCCATTTTAAGGTCAACATTATTAGCCCCTTTAAGCTATATATATATATATATATATATATATATTGATACTCTACAGAAGTGAGTTATTAGTTAGTTAGAAATGAGTTATTAAAACTATTATGTTTAGAAATGTGTTGAAAGAAAATCTGCTCTCTGTTAAACAGATATTGGGGGAAAAAATAAACAGGGGGCAAATAATTCTGACTTCAACTGTATTAAACCTTTTTTTATTTATTTACTCAAGTATAAATTAACTCTGGTTTAAACATTAAAATGGAATTTAATCTAAATCAAAAATATTTATTGTGGTCAGGACAAAAATATATTCATGCAAAGTAAAATACATTGTTTACTTCAGAGACCACAATTTATTTGATCTCTTACTTTGGCAAAACGATATTTATCTTGAAAATCTATATTTTTTTACCCTTTTATCAAACTATTTAATTTAATTATTAATCATTAAGTATTTATTAATTATTAAGTATTACTTTAAATTATCCAACATATAATATATCAAACTGATTACTGTAATTACAGCTAAATGTATATATTTTCCTCAAATTGTGCGACATTTATTTATTTTTTCTGCCCAAAGATAAACAAATTACATCTACTTAAAGGTATATTATTGTTATTTTTATATTAACTGCATTACTATGGTTCAACTGAAATATTTATTTAGGGAAAAATATTTTTTTCCATTTTAAAATCAAAGTAAAGCTTTAGTAAATTATATTGTTATTCATTTATAATAAGCACTCGGAGGAAACCCACGCCAACACGGGAAGAACATGCAAACTCCACACAGAAATGCCAACTGACCCAGTCGAGGCTCGAACAAGCGACCTTCTTGCTGTGAGGCTACTGACATGTAAAACACATAATGTTAGGCTAGGCTATTGCTCATTCATTCACTGTCCTTCGGCTTAGTCCCTGATTTATCAGGGGTCGCCACAGCGGAATGAACCACCAATTGCTACTGCTAGTTATTTTATTTTAAAATCTGAAGTAGCCTATTTGTAGCCTATCAAAGATGGTGATCAAACTCACATTAGAAATGCATAAAAACTAAATAGCACATAAGCAGAAATGTTTTTCATGTGGTCTGTGGTTAGCACTGTCACCTCACATCAAGAAGATGGCTGGTTCGAGTCCTGGCTGGGTCAGTTGGCATTTCTGTGTCCAAAGACATGCTCTTTAGAGGAATTGAATAAACTAAACTGGCCGTAGTGTATATGTGTGAATGAGTGTGTATGGGTGTTTCCCAGTAAAAAAATGTTATAAGAAATACTGTGAAAAATTCCCTGCTCTGTTAAACATCATTTGTGAAGTTATTGGAAGAAAAAAAATGTACATGAGGGCTAATCATTTTGACTTCAACTGTATAACTGAATAAACTGCAGCAACACCAATTAAACCTGTTCTCCATTAACATTCTGACAGGTTTTTCCCAAAGCCTTCATTTATGTGGAAGTTTGTGGACTGGTGTTGCCGGCAATGCTGTGCATCGTGTGCATGACAGGACGGGTGTTATGGATCGCGCGCAAACAGCTGCAGGACATCTGTAAACTCCACCGTGCCGTAGATCGCTTACAAACATCAGACCAAGAGCAGCAGCTGAATCTGCGATACGCCAAATGTGTGGCCGCCGTGTCGCTTACGTTTTTGGTGTGTTGGGTGCCGTATATCATCTACCAGCTGATGTCAGTGACGGCTCTGCAGAGCGGCGTCAGCTTGCCCAGCTCCTCTTTATATATCATCATGTCCTGCACGGGGATCGGGAGCATGGCAGTCATCCCGTTGATCTTGGGACTAGCCAACAAGCAGTACACGGAGCCCATCAGAAGAGTGATGCTGAAACTGAGGAACCGCTGGAGAGGAGGACATAGTGATAGAGATATTACAATTTGATGAGGGAAGAAGAAGAGAATTGAATGTTCTTTTGGAAATATGCACTACTGTTTGAATGCTTGAGATTATGTTAAAGGGCACCTATGGTAAAAATCTACTTTTCAAGCTGTTTGGACAAATCTGTGTGTTGGTATAGTGTTTAGACCGTCATACTGGGGTGATATGAACAGTCCTTTTTTTCAATTTAACTACAAAAAAAAGGGTCGGCCAATTGGAGCTGTTTTCAAATCGATCACACCATTACGTAGGTGTGCGATCCCCCCGCCCACCGAATTGATTGACAGCTGCGCGCATTAACATGTTCCGGTAGTCACCTGTATATGTCAACAAGACCAGACATACGCAAAACAACCGGGAATAAAAGCAAAGCATCATCAAACGTGATTAAGAGTGAATTTCACATGTTTAAAGTGTTATAAAACAGAGTATGTGTGTAATTAATTACAGCATTTTACTTCAGCTTTACTTCATCAGCAGTTCATCAACAATTATAAAAGAAGACGCTTCAATCCCGGTTTGTGGAAGTTAAATCAGGTTTATTTTGTACATTATCATAACAGATATCCACACAGTACTTGAGGTTAGCCTTAACTAAGCTAAGCGCGCTCTGTCTGTCTGCCTGCCTGCCTGCCTGCGTGCGTGCGCGCCCGTTAACTTTGTAACGATATTGTGTGTGACTCATCAATGCAACTTCACAATACGGATTAGTAAAGGTTAGTTCTTACTGTAGTATCTCACTAACGCTACATGAGACCTTCTTCCTTTAAGTCTGTCTGTTGTCTGACGCAGCTGAGGGAGGAGGCATGTAGAAGCAGTAGGCGTCTTAAAGGCGCAGTACGACAAAACCACCCCCTGCTGGAAATCAGTATTAAACAGCATCTTGTAAAAGGTATAATGAAAAATCTGATGGGTATTTTGATCTGAAACTTTATATACACATTCTAGAGATGCAAAAGACTTATATTAAATCTGAAAAAAGGGGTAACCTAGGTGCCCTTTAAAAAGTTGGCATGAAATGGAAATTAAGATTGCAAAAAAGATTTTTTTTAAAAATGGAGGAATATTTTGGGGGCAAATTGGCATTCAAATTGGTGAGAAGATTATGTTATGGTGTTTGATTAACGTTTACTAGAGGAAATACAAAAAAACACTACTATAAACTTTTAAAATAAGAAGATTAAAGGTGCAATAGGTCTTCAGAAACATGTTTTGTTGTGCTGCTTGAAAGTCTCTTCAAGTAAACGATTCTAATGTATATATATATGTGTATATTTTTATATTCTGGGTAAGGCATTGGACTACTAAATGTTCATCCAATTAAATATTTTGGGCTGAAAATTATGACAGGTAGCTTAAAGGTGTATTAAGTGACTGTCTTCAGAGGCATTTTTGCTGGATGAAAGTCTCTACAGTAAATGATCTAAATGGATTTTTATATTTTGGGTAAGGCATAAAACTAAAAAATGTTCATCTAATTAAATAGAGTCGGGCCGACATCTCTCATAATTCCGATAAGTAGCCCAATCTGTCTGTCAGCAAATGCAGATCTGAACAACTGCGCAGCCTTTAAATGCATATCCGCCAATCGCCGCACGTTCACGAGAGAGCATGCGCGGGCGAGATCGGTAAAAACCTGCTGAATCAAAACTTTTTAAAAACCTGAATCAATATTGGAGTTACCTTTGCATGCTGGAGAAAGGATGACACCATGTCTGAAGGATTTCTCTTAGACAGGCAATGCTCTGTTTAAAAACTGTTTTATCTTCAAGCAAAGCTGATGTAACGTTAGATGTTGTTGTTACAGATGGGTTATATCTTCACAGAAGTGTTGTTTAGCTACTAAAATCTTTCTATGAAAGATTGATAAGACTATTTTCAGTTTCATAAGGGACCTTTTACAGTATCGATAATGTAGATTTTAATTAGTTTAACAACAAAACACAATACCACTATTCTGCCTAGTCTCTCCCTATATTGTTCACCATGCAACTCTAAATATTCAATTCAAAATAGCATGTCAGTTTGGCTTGCACGCCGCCACATGAGAGAGGGTTCTTTTGCTGTGCTCGTGTTTCAGGAGGCGTGGCTCTGGATGGCAGAGGAGGGACTGTGATTCAGAGATTTATGCTAAGCTGTAAGCATTGTGGAAGATCACCTACTGCACCTTTAAACTGTCAACAGATTTGTATATCTGCGCACCCTGGATCAATTGGTATCAGGCCGCAGAAGAAACCATTAATTATTTCTGTTTTATTTATTATCTTAGACTGAACGATCTTTAGTTTGGAAAAATGTTTTATTTTTTAAAAATGACCGTATTCTCTTGCATCTTGGTCACTTGAGCGCCCAAATAAACCCACAAGCAGCAAAAGAGGTAACGTTAAGGAACAGACATCTTAGCAAAGTGTCTTTGCTCTGGGGAAAAGGCACTGTCAAGGACCCACAAACTGCCAAAAAATAGATTCGCAACCCATTTGTCAACAAATCAGGTGAATCCAGCATAGCTGTACAAGAAGATCAACTGCTGGAGATCGCAAATGACGGCGGCCTTTTGAGTGCCGTTCGCATATCGCGTCTTTTCTAGAGTTTGCGCAAGTTCGTTATTTCCAGTGGAGGTGCTTGGCCTGTGAGTGCAAGCTACTTATCTGGCGCCACGTCGCAGTCCTCTGCTGCCTGCACATGTGCCCTGCTATAAATCCGCTTGTTAAGTGGTGACATGTTGGTGATGTATGTAATACTGTTTCCGGATCCAAGCTGCCCCTTGATGGTAACCCATAGCAACCTATGAACACCCCCACCCCACAGTTTAATTTTAAAAGTGCTGACCGGTCCGCAGTGATAAAAAGGTTGAGGACCACTGCTGTAAATACAAACTTGCAATGCTTTCTCCACCCCTAAGTTCTTCTGATTGGTCCACTGTTTTGTAACTGACACTGGTGAGTGGCGCTGCTAAACGTGACTTGACATGGCATCTTAAAGGCATAAGATATGAGCAGTAAAGCAACACACCTCCTTCAAGCACATATTTACATAGAAAAACAATGCATAAGTAGGGTACTGAAATGGTAAAATGTCTTCTGTGGGAATAGTCTTATAGGACTATGACTGCGTCCGAAATCGC